CTGGGTGTTGACTTGAAAAGAGAAGTCGGGAGTTCACTGGGCCTGTAAGTAAGGTGGGAGCCCTTGTCTGCTGAGGGGGACCAGAGCTGGTGGCAGAGGCAGGCTCTGGGGAAGCTCTCCAGGGGGGTTTCTGCTGAAGCTCTGGTTGGCCCTCGGAGCAAGCAAACAACACGGGCATCCCTGTGCTCTGTTGCTGGACCCATGGGTGCTGGAAGCTGTTGGGAAGGCCTCTGGCTGTGCATGGGGAAGTTCATTCTCTGCCCCAATTAAAAACACTGCATTTCATAAAGAATGGACAATTAGCCTTTCCAATCTTGCCCTGGGTGTTCTTATGTAACAAAAACGGTATGGAGGTGATTCATCACATCCTGTTTCCACTGTGCTTGAATTCATTTGTTTCTCTGTCTCCACATCCCTCCCAAGCTCTCACCATCACCTCCGACTGCTCTGGAGGGAGCCAACTGTAAATGAACAAGAGCTCTGACATGCGCAGATCAGGTTTGCTATTGTCTAGCACAGAAGAATGGGTTTCATTCTCAGACAAACTGAGCAGCGCTCTAGGACGGTAGAACTGCCTCTGTTGGCGGATTCCAGGGATGCTTTACGACAACACGCACACACTCTGGCCAGAGGGCTTTCTGGCTTGGGTTTAAAATGTCACTGGTCAATGATCGTGGCTGCTTGGTATACAGGGTGGGTGGGGATGGCGAGCAGAGAGCAACTCTGCTGCCCTCTAGCTTCAGCGCTGGACTATTTTGGACAGATGCTTCTTAAAGGAAAAGGTCTTTGTGAAAAAGCTGGTCATGTGGATGACCAGCTGAAGCGGGCCTCCCACCCCGGTCTGTTACAGAAGTAGAAAGCCCCCACTTTCTCCATTAGTATCTGGCTGGTGTTCCAAACTGCCAAACCTGTGGATCACAGCCCAGCATATAAACCAGTACTCAGGTGGGGTTCTCGCAGAGAGGGAGGTTTAAGTTGCTAGAAACGTTTTCGATGGTAACTGGTAATAGCAGGCGAGAATGCCAGTGGGGCAGCCTTGGATGGTGTCCTTAAATCCGGAATCGGCTGGATGGAGGCATGCAAAGATGTCCTTCGCAAAGACCAGTTGCAGGGGGAATCTGGAAACTTCAGAAAGTCCCGTTCAGCTGCACTGCGCGCCACAAGGGATGGAAGGCCTCCACAAAAGCCTGTGCTCTTGAGTCGATGGCAACGCTTTCAGCAGTTCCCAGGGGTGGGAGGGAGGGGAATGGTTTGCTTTGGAAGCACTTAGGGTTAGTGGGGGTGGAAAACTGCAAAGGATAAGTTGTTTTGTTTTGTTTTGAAGAAAATGTGTGGTTTCATTCATGTGTCAACTGGAAACGTCCTTTGAGACAGACAGGTCTTTCAGAGATATCGGTAACCCAGCATTTAAAGAGCCCACTGCCTTCAGTCAGTCCTAACACACAGTGGCTCTACATAGGGTTTCTAAGACGATGAATCTTTACTGGAGCAGGGAGCCTCCTCTTTCTCCCGAGTGCTGGCTGGTAGGTTTGAACGGCTGACCTGGCTAACGCACAGGCCTGACGATGGTTAAGACACAGCTGTTGCCATCAAGGAACTCCAGCGTCAGTAGCAACAGACGAAGGCAGGGACCGTTGGGAAGAGCAGCAGTTCGGTGTGTGTGCCGACTGGGACAGACGCAAAAAGAGCCTTAGGAAGAGAAAAGCTCAAAAGTTCACGTCCACGGAGTCAGCGTGTACGTAAAACTTGAGAACAAGTGGCTGTGTTACTGGGTCTTGTTCCAAGATCAACAATAGAATGGGAATCACTGAAAAGCAACAACAATAGAAAATAAACGTGTTGGCCAGCAGGCGGGGAAAAAAATCCGGAACCCTTATGGTGGCCCAATGGCGAAGGTGCTCCCTGCTAACTCAAGTTCAACAGTCTGAACCCATGAGTCACTCCCTGGGGGAAAGACATGGCCATCCACTTCCACACGGACTCACAGTCTCAGGAAACCCATAGGTGGGCAGCTCTGCCCTGTGCCACAGGGCCCACAGGGCCACTCTGGGTCAGAACTGACTTGATGGCAATGGGTTTATGGTTTGGGTTACTGTTGTTTTCGTTTTTTATTTACCATGGAAAATAGCTTGGTGGTTTTGTTACATGTTAAACGTACAACTACGACCGCCTCAGCCATTCCAAAAGCAGAGGGGCCTCAGACCTGTGTCCGCCGTGCTGACTGCGCCATCCCTAACAGTCCTGAGGTGGAGTGACGTTCCCGTCCCCACGAGTAGACATACACCACATGCACACTAGAACACTATTCTGTTATAAAGAACAGTGGACCTGTAGGGCTCACACCACTGGTCCTGTAGGGCTCATCCGCCCTGGATTCCCTGGATTTCCAGTTCCTATCTGTACCAGTGTACATCCTCTGGCCTAGCCAGACTTGCAAGGTAGAATTCGTGCCATGATAGTGGGAGCGGGGAGGAAACATTTAGGAACTAGAGGAAAGTTGTATGTTTCATTGTTACATCGCACCCTGACTGGCTCGTCTCCTCCCCAAGACCCCTCTGCAAGGGGATCTCCAGTGGCCTACTAATGGGCTTTGGGTCTCCACTCCGCACTCCCCCCATCATTCACTATGGTAAGATTTTTTGTTCTGATGATACCTGATCCCTCGACACCTCGTGATTGCATAGGCTGGTGTGCTTCTTCCATGTGGGCTTTGTTGCTTCTGAGCTAGATGGCCGCTTGTTTACCTTCAAGCCTTTAAGACCCCAGATGCTATACTTTTTGATAGCCGGGCACCATCAGCTTTCTTTGCCACATTTGCTTATGCACCCATTTGTCTTCAGTGATTCCGTTCGACACCTCGTGATCACACAGGCTGTATGTTCTTCCATGTGGGCTTTGTTGCTTCTGAGCTAGATGGCCGCTTGTTTACCTTCAAGCTTTTAAGACCCCAGATGCTATACTTTTTGATAGCCGGGCACCATCAGCTTTCTTCACCACATTTACTTATTCACCCGCTTTGTCTTCAGCAGTTATGTCCGGAAGGTGAGCATCGTAGAATGCCAATTTAATAGAAGAGGGAGAGTGGGTAGGAAAGAGGAAACTGATTACAAGGAACTATATGTGACCTCCTCCCTGGGGGGACGGACAACAGAAAAGTGGGTGAAGGGAGACGTCGGACAGGGCAAGATACGACAAAATAGCAATATATAAATTATCGAGGGCTCATGAGGAAGGGGGAGTGGGGAGGGAGGGGGAAAATGAGGACCTAATGCCGGGGGCTTAAGTGGAGAGGAAATGTTTTGAGAATGATGAGGGCAATGAATGTACAAATGTGCTTTACACAATTGATGTGTGTATGGATTGTGATAAGAATTGTATGAGCCCCTAATAAAATGATTTTTTAAAAAAACAGTGGAGTTCTAATTCATGCAACACCGTGGGTGAACCTCGAACACATGATGCTAGCTGAAAGGAGTCAGACACCAGAGACTGGAAGTTGTATGATCCAACTGATGTGGAGTGCCCAGAACAGGGCAATCTTCAGGGGCGGACAGAAGATGAGCGGTGACCAGGGGCTGGGAAGCACAGAACTTCTGTTGGAAGTGACTAAAAACAAACACACTTGGAACC